CTGATGACGCTGCTTCCGGCATCAGTTTTTTGGTGTCTCTCTTCATCTGATGCCTACCCTTTGACCTGTCCAGCAAGGGAGGCCCTACCAGTAGCTATGCTACCGCTGGTATAGCTCTCAGGGTCCTTGGCATACTCAAACACCCTCACCATGATAAGGTGGGGACACCAACAAGGCGGCTATTAAATATACACTTTCATAAATTTGTTTGGACATCACCTGTTGGAAAGGTACACAGTCACTTCAACTGTATTTTCATAGATTGAAGATGGCATTCGAGTGTACTAGATATTCAGTCTTTCAGGGGAGTGGACTGTGATAGTGATCACCAAGTGGTTCTTACAGAAATTAGGGAGAGACTGCCAGTAAGGAACTGGAGCAGTGCAAAAGTATGATATGGAGAGGTTAAGTCTGAAGAAACAAAACAAGATAGAGGGTAAAGAACATTGTCAGATTCATATCTGAAACAGGTTTTCAGCTTTGTGAAACTTCAGTGATGATGTGGTAACAAAAAGAATATGAAAATTACAGCCCAAATGAGTCTAGGTTATTATGAAAGCAGTATAAGTCATTGCTCAAAATTATTAGATCAAAGAGAAAAAACTATTTTTCATTGGTTACAGGATCCAGGCTGAGGGGGGGCATGTGGTAGCGTAGTTGGTTGAGGCACTATGCTACAAGCTGGAAGGTTGTGGGTTCAAGTCCTGATGACATCATTGGATTTTTTCAGTTGGCCTAATCCTTCCAGCCATGCTGTGGCCCTGGTGTCGACTCAGTCTCTAACAGAAATGGGTACTAGGAATATTTTTGGAATATTCCGGGGGGTAAAGGGCGGCCGGCGCATAGGGCTGACAACCTTGCCGCCATCTATGAGCCGACTGTCTAGAAAATGTGGGAACCTCAACATCTCACATCTCCACAGCTTTACTTTAACTTTTTTACAGGATCCAGGCCAAATAAGTGGGGATAATATGTAAACAATGTAAGGTGTGAAGTTGGGAGAAATTTCAGGAATAAAGAGACAGAATATCTGAAAGACAAAATTAATGAGCTTGCAACACAGTAAGAACAAAAACGTTAGAGACTTTTATGATAATAAGCTATGGTCTGGACAGCCCAGGTGTGATTCCTGGCAGTGCAAGATTTTACTCTTCTCCACAGTGTCCAGATCATCTCTGGGGCCCACCATCCTCCTATCCAATGGGTATCAGGGACTTTCTTTGGGGGTGAAGTGGCAGGGGCATGTAGGTGACCACCTCCACATAGTGCAAGGTCAAGAATAGTGGAGCTGTACCTCCTGTCCCCCATGTGTCTTTATGGTATAGCCCATAATCAGTTAAGCACAGGGACAACTTTACTTCTTTTCTGGAGGAATAAATTAATTCAAGAATGGTTACCAACCTAGAACTAACTTGGTAAAGATGAGAATGATACTGCTTGCAGATTCTCACATTTTGAATAGGTAGAATAATTACTTCTCTCAGCTGTTGAATGTAGGCAGTGTCAGTGATGTTAGGCAGAAATACATACAGCTGAGCCACTAGTACCAGAGCCTAGTACTTCTGAGGTTGAAATTGTTCTTATAAAGTTCAGTAATTATAAATTTCCACATATTTACCAAATTCTGGCAGAACTGATTATAGCAGGAGGTGAAACATTATGGTCTGTGATCCATATTTTATTAATTATATTTGGAATAAGGAAGAACTGCCTGATCAGTGGAAGGAGTCCATTATTGTACAAATTTACAAAATGGGCGATAAAACTGAGTGTAGTAATTCTCAAGGCATATCACTGCTGTCAACTTCATACAAAATTTTATTCAATATCCTTCTTTCAAAATTAAGTCCATACATAGACAAAATTATTGGGGTCGTCAGTGTGAATTTTGACATAAGGGAATCACTACTGATCAGATATTTTGTATTTGTCAGGCACTGGAGAAAAATTGGAAGTAAAATGAGACAGTACATCAGCTATTCATAGACGTCAAGAAAACATATTATTCAGTTAAGAAGGAAGCACTGTAAAGTATCCTCATTATGTTTTGGTTACCTTTGAAACTAATTGGGCTTATTAAAATGTGCGTAAATAAAACCTATGTGACATTTGTCTGATATGTTTCCCATTGAAAAAGGTATAAATAAATAAGGAGAGGCTTTATTGCCATTGCTCTTCAACTCTTCTTTAGAATTTGTTTCCCTTATTATCAATTGAAAGTCCTTGAAAGGACAGCAATAGACCAATTCATGTTCAATTTTAACATATAATTATGGAGCTAGATAGAAAGCACAAATGTGTATTTCAGGGAAATTTAACAGTTGTGGATATTTTGGGCAGACAGATAAAAATATACATAGAGTCAAGAAAATGTAGACCTAAGGAATACAAAATCCATACTTCATACTATATATATATATATATATCTGATGGTTTTATAGGTGCATATTTTTTTTTGATATATGTGTCCAAAAGAACAAGGAATAATGCAGAATCCCACTGTTTCTTTGTGTGTGGTACCCA